GGGAATCTCTCAGTCTCAGGCAAAATTGGATGGTTGGTCACCTTTTATTATAACGTGGCATCACTCACTTAGCTACAATTAATTGGCCTTGGATGGGCACCAGACAAACGTCAGTGATGAATCCCTCTCCCATATTTATGGATATAGGACCATAGTGTCTATGGCAGGTGCCTTTCAGATTTTCTTTCAAGAGAAAACCTGCGGGGCATCTGGGTGGTTCAGTGGGTTAAGCCTCTGCCTTTGGCTGGGGTCGTGATCTCGAGGTTCTGGGATGGAGCCCCATGTCTGCTCAGCGGGGATCCTGCTTCCCTCTCACTCTCTGACTGCCTCTCTGCCTACTTGTGATCTCTGTCTGTCAAATAAAGATATAAAAACTCTAAAAAAGAAAAACCTGCTGTGAGTAGTGAAGTCAGACAATAGCCTCCAGGTATGGTACTTTGGGGATATTTTTGTATCATTTGATGCAAGGCCATTCCCATCCTAGGCATTTACAGGCGATTTCTGAGAACAAAGGGGATACTAGGACCATTTAGGCCTAATGTGGGATTCTTATAATTAGCGATTTTTGCTCTAGGTTCCCAGTTGGGCTGGCTGGGACTTCCGTAGAGTTGCACTGCAAGCTGAGGCACTTCCTACCCATTTCTCCTACATTTCTTCTCCTTTAACAAGCATCATACCTGTCATGTGGTCTGAATTCTATCCCCACCTACTCCTGCTCTTCCTCTTTATCTTTGTTTTTTGTTGTTGTTTTTTTTGTTTTTGTTTTTTTTTTTAAGATTTTATTTATTTATTCAACAGAGAGAGAGATCACAAGCAGGCAGAGAGGCAGGCAGAGAGAGAGGAGGAAGCAGGCTCCCCGCTGAGCAGAGAGCCCAATGCGGGGCTCGATCCCAGGACCCTGGGACCATGACCTGAGTCGAAGGCAGAGGCCTAACCCACTGAGCCACCCAGGTGCCCCTCCTCTTTATCTTTGTAATCATTACCCACAATAGATCTCTGGACTTGTGACTCCATCTTGGTATCTGCTGTTCAGAGGACCCAATGTGGCATAGTGTCTCTCTCCAGTGGCTGAAGCTGTAAGATGAAAATTTAGGAAGATGTCAATTACCATACTTCCTATTGTATGGATATGAGAAACAAAGGAGATTGTGGGGGGTGGGGGAGGAGAGAGAAAGGAAGGGAGAGAGAGAAAGAGGAGAGACAGAGGGAGAAAGAGCAAAAGCAAGTACAAATGTACAGGGAGAATACTGATAAAATAATGATAGAGCCATAATGGCATTTGAATACTTGGTTTTGGGCATCCTTGAGGGCTATCTGTACCTTGCCCTTTCCAAATTTTGATTGCTTCACTCCTTAAATTTTGTGAGACACACAATTATCTTTCCACAAACTTCTCTCTTTCACTTAAATTAGTTTCAGGTAGGTTTTTGTCCCTTTCAACTACCGAAATACCTCTTCACTGCAAAAATTAGCGTACAGGCTACTGAGTTAGTGCTGAGTCATATTTCTGTTTAGTCAGAAATGTTCATACCATGTTCATAGCCTCAGATGCAAAATAACATACTTTTCAGTTTTTACCAAATTTTTGTCCTTTAGTAGATGCAGAGAATTTTGCATGGCCTAGATAATCTTTGAGTTTTAGCCTATATTTATTTCTGTATGGAATCTATAGAATTGTTGTGATAGACCAAAGCCTCAGCCAAATTCAACATTGCACCATGCCTGGAATATTTATTTTCTGATTAAAAGTCACTTTTAGTTATATAATGAAGGTTACTTTTAATATGAATCTTTTGTCCTTTCTTAAGATACTGATAAAACCAAGATATAGATGTTGGCCAAAGATGACAGCTCCTACACATCAGTCTTATATAATAGTCCATACAGGAATGGTGTTAATTTGGTCTAGGGCAGGGTTGGCAACTTACAGTCTGCAGGTCAAATTCTACCTCTTCTTGCCTGTTTTTGTAAGTAAAGAGTAATGGAGTACACTCCCACTCATAATTACAGTGCTGTCTGTGGTCGCTTTTGCTCAATGAACACAGAATCATGTAGTGACAGGCAGAGACTATATGCCTAAAATATTTACTATCTGACCCTTTACAGAAAAAAATTGCCAACCCTTGGCCTCAAGTGGTATCAGCGCAAGTGGAGACAAATACGTGAGCAGATTATATTTTTGGAAGTAGAGCAGGAACAAGCTTGGTATATTCGAGGATCATAAGGCCTATGTGGCTAAAACATAAAAGGACCCAGATACTACCCAGTCTTTCTTTTTTTAGCACATTAGTGCCTATTGATTTTTATTCAGACATTAATTCACTCATTCAACAAATGTTTTTCAAGTTCCCACTCTGCGCTAGACAGTGTTAGCTACTTCACACACACAAGCACATACGAATTGTAATAAGGGGAATCAACAAGTAAACAGTTTAACACAGAATAATAAATGCCTGATGCTATGTGGAGGAAATTAACTTTTGTTTTACCGCCCATTCAATATTTATCTGCTATTTCCTGGTACCTTTCTCCAGCTGCACCTGAACCACATCTTGTCTGGTCGGTTATGCTTCACTTCCTTCAGTCACTAAAATGCATCATCATGGTGTTTATCATTGTAATCACAGCAGCCAGTACTTGTTGAGCATTTACAGACACGGCTAAGTACTTTTTTTTCAAATATTTTATTTATTTATTCGACAGAGAGAGAGCACAAGTAGGCAGAGAGGCAGGCAGAGAGAGAGGAGGAAGCAGGCTCCCCGCTGAGCAGAGAGCCCGATGCGGGGCTCGTTCCCAGGACCCTGGGACCATGACCCAAGCCCAAGGCAGAGGCTCTAACCCCCTGAGCCACCCACCCTGGCTAGGTACATTATACACATCTTTCTCAATGAGATTTACCCTTAGCAGTATATTTAAAACTCCTACTACCTCCAGCATGCCCTTTTTCTGCTGGATTTTTTTAATGGCTCCTATCATCTTATAATGTTTAATATATACTTTATACTAGCTACTTTGTACACATTGTCTCACTTAACCATCACAACCTATAATATAGATACTATCATTATGTCCATTTGTGAAATCAGAAATTGAGGGTCAGACAGGTAAAGTCCTTTGCCCAAAGTCTCCTGTGTGTCTCACAAAGTCGCATTGAAGACATTTCTCTTCTTCCTCATCTACTCTGGCTGCTGATCCCCCCATGTTACACTCATCACTGCTTGATGGTATCACCTACCAAAGGCACCACTATCACTGCCAATACCAACAGAAGTCTTCCGTCTAGGGCATTACAGTTTGACTCCAGGGTGTTGTTTCTTGAAGCTCTTAGTGTTGTTTCTCATAGATACCAAATGTCTGCGAACAACGAACGTATTTTGTGAAAGACTTCTTTGTAGTTTTTGGTTGTGCTTCCATTATAGTTTGTGTCAGGTTTGGAGCCAGATTACCTAGGTTTGAATCTCTGAAACTTAACTGCTCTGGGATCCTGGTAAAATTGCTCAACTTATCTGTGCCCCAGTTTCCTTATCCTTAAAGGAAGGATAATAATATCAGGTACCTCGAGTGTTTGATATAAAGCCCTTACGCCAGCATTTGGCCTATAAGGTAGGTTTAATAAATGTTAGTTACTATTACTGAAGCAACTGGATTCTTTTTCCAACCCTTCACAAGTTTTATCTATTAATCTCTTGCCTCTTTCTGGATACTTTCTATCTGTTGATTTCACTTTATCTTTATTGATCTTATTCACTCTAATTGGTACTGTCATGGTCCTTCCTATTACAGGACTGTTGGTCATGCCTTTTGATCACGGTCCTTGTGTGTGGAATGTCCCTTTTCCTGTGTGCGTGGCCAATTCCTATCAGTTCTTTAAGTTCCCTAAGGGCGTTGACTCTTTCTCCTTTTTGTTTACCATTTCATACTCGGAGTTGAATCCAGCACCTGGTGTCCATAGGCACCAGCCTGAGTCTAGAATCTCACCCGCTTTTTAGGCTTTGTGCTAGGGTCTTGGAAAAGAAATTTGAAAAACGCTTTTTTTTTCCTGGTCTCAAGAGACCACTTGTTCATTGAAGGACACAGGCATGCAAAGGGAGAAGTCATAACCCCGAATGATAATTGCTACACCGGAGGCCAGTACTAGATCCACTGGGCATATTGAACCCATGGAAAAGAACAGAAACTAATTCTGGAAAATAGAGAATGATTCACGTAGCAGGTAGTATCTAAATAAGGAGTAGCCGTTTTGCGATAGAACAAGTAGGGGTAGAGCGTCTGACAGAAAGCATTCCAAGGCAAAAGTATGAAGGCATTTGCTTCTTTTGTTGATCCTGACTTCCACACACCGTTTCCTTTATCATCACCGTCTGACATTACACTAATTACTTTTCATCTCTAATAACTGCAATAGTGCGGTTTCCCATTTTTCAATGTCTGTGCAGTGTATTTGTTTGTTATTGCTCTAGATCTTTTTCCCTCTGCCTTGGATTTCCATCGTACATACTGTTTCATTGTGGTTTTGTATTATGTGTCGTTCTTGAATTTGTACGTGCATTAGGATGTGCATTCTAATGACTCATTCCCTGTTAGCGTGTACGGGTTTAAGCACGGTATGTGGACCCTGGATCGAAGGACCTGGAACGAATTGGTGGCAGTCAGCCCTGAGCAGTATGTGACTTAAGTTCAAGAAAGTGGTGCAAAGAAGTGGAAGAATTATTGTTCCAGAAAACCTCAATAAGCAACCTCGTGAGGGGGAGCCTGGGGAGGGGCACTGAACAGGCAAACAAGGAGAGCCGGGTGTCACACGCAGTGTATTTTTGTGGGTCCGTCCATTTTCCTCTCTGCGCCCCCGGCTCCACAGCTGGTAAACGAGGGCGACTGGAGCACCCGACCGCGACCCTCCCGAATCTAGCTCCCAGCGCGCCCCCGCAGAGGCCGCGGTCCCACGCGCACGCGGCGCCCCCGGCACTCGGCCGGAAGGAGCGGGGCGGGGCCTCTCGGCGGCGGGGCCCCGGCGGCCTGGGGGAGGGGAGCGCGGGAGCGATAGTCTCCAGGAAAAAGGCAAAGGCGGGCGCGAGGCTGCCTCCTGAGGCTCTCTCTGCTTGCAGTTCCTCCCGTTTGGCTGACTTGGGAGTCGCTACCTCCGGCACAGGTGGGTTCTGTTCCACCGATCGGGAAGGGGGTGTCTTTGGCGGCTGCGGTGGTTGGGTTTGCCCGGACACTCGCTGTAAGGCCTGGCGCGCGGGGCGCGGGGGACGGCTCCCACCCCGTCTGCTCGGCCCCAGGACGGTGGTACTTACCTTAACCCCGGTGGAGGAGAAGGCCGCTCGCGCCTTGCCGCAGGGCTGTCGTCACGGTTTCCATGCCAGGTGCGCGGCGAGAGCGGCCCGCGGGTGAGCGCAGGACCAGACGGGCCTAGCTCTCGGCCGGGGCGGCAGGCGCCGGAGCAAGCCTGCGGCGGGGCCGATGCCCAGCCTGCCTGGTTCCGAGCTCCACGGACCTCCCCGCCCGGGCTCCGGCACCGACTGGGAGCCTCCAGCTGGCGAAGGGTGCCTGACCTACTCGAGCTTACCGGCTTGGCGGTGGAGTGGAAGGTGGCACTCTGCAGTCTGCCGCGCTGACTTTCTCTCGTTCTAAGATCCACTAGTGTTCTCTGCCCGGATTTTACCCTTTGTCTGCCCCTCCCGAGCGACAGTGCCTAGCAAGAGTCGGGAGCGACCCGGCAGCGCACTGCGAAACTTAGTCGAGGAAGTGCTCTCCATGACTAAAGCCCCTCCGAAAACCCGTGTGAACAGTTTTAACAACTGACTGACCCGAAAGCTGGGAAAAAAGCGTTCATTACCGTGCCTTGGTTGAATGTCAGCTCCAACGACTGCTTGATGAATTCTTTACTATTAAAGATTTTAACCAGGTGATTAATGAAAACATTGTGTTGAATGAATACAGTACACTGTCCAGCAAAAAGTCTCATCATAAAAGACTTGTGTGATTTAACTATTAACAAGTGGCTGAAGGAAAAACGAGCTGTCATATGTAGGAACACTTGCATAATCCGTTCCCATATAGCATTCTTTTAGAGTTTCTTCTTAGCTGGCTTGTCTTCTCAGGAATCTCTATAGTAAAAACTACGGTTTATTTTACAGTAACTATAAAGACAAAGAATTATAAACACTGTGGACCAACATTTTGTCATTGCAGTTTCACCTCAAGGAACTGCTTAAAATGGTAATGACAACCCTATCTTCTGCAAAACACTGTCATCTTCACAGCCAGGAGAGGTCAATGTGTTTATTTGTCATCATACTTAAGTCATACTCTACCTGGTAACTAGTATGATGAAGGTAATCTTTCCTGGGTTGCTTTCAATCCAGAACTGATGGGGTGGGAAATGGCATCCTTTGCATGCCCCATCCCATTCTCATTTCTGGGAAATCTACACTGGGACAGAGCACTTCCTGGTTTGGGTATCTGTACCAGAAGCCAGAAGCTGTTCTGGATCTCTGCTTGTCGCCCCTGGGAGAAGCAGTAAAATACCCAGACTGACCCTTGGAGTCCGTAGTGCTGCTGGCAGTGGTACTTTTTGCCTGCGGGCATGAGGGTGGGGGCAGGGGCCATATCGACAGGCCTCTTTGGTGCGAAAAGTCTCTCTGGGGTGGAAGCCAAAGTGAGCAGAGATCCACCAGCTGGGTGCCACCGTGACCCTGTTAGGACGACACCAAACGGCCCCTGCACTCGTAGGGGCCGTACAGTCTGCCACTGCGCTCCCCTAAAGGACTCGCAGGATGACAGGCTCTTGGCCAAACCTGGCCTGCGTGACACTGCAGGTTCCAGGCAAGGGGTGCCTGATAAGGAGGTGGGGGTCCTTCTGGGCACGGGACCTGGTGATTTTCCAAACTGTTGACAAACTGAGAGGGAAACGGTGATAGACTTCTGCTGAGCCAACCTCGAGGGTGACTTTAGGACCGGCTGTTTGGCAGGCACCGATGAATGCTCTGTTTGGCCGCATTTCTACTCTATTCATTTATTCTCTCACTCCAAAGACAATCAATGAACGCTTGCCCTGTGCCAGCATGCTGATCCACTCACGGAGATTAGTGGCGAGGGAAGACAGTAAGTTTGGGAGGAGAACAGGGACTCCACTTTAAGCACGCTGACTCGGGGGCATCTTCTCTCTTCCTGATTCCCACTAGAGAGTCCATTCAAAATCTTGCCACTTCTGCTTCCCAAATATTGTTAAACCCGTCCGCTTCTCTTGGCCCCCACTGCCACTCCAGACTTTGAGCCAGCAACATGGTTTTCTATGCATCTACTTAAAAAGATTTTTTTATGTATCATCGAGGGGTAATTGATATACAGCATTACCTTCTTTTCAGGCGTACGACATACTGATTGGACAATTCTGTACTCAGTACTCACCAGGGTAAGTGGAGTCACCATCCGTCAACGCACAGTGTTATTACAATATTATGGACTCTGTTCCCTGTGCTGTACTTTTCATCTCCGTGGCTTACTTGTTTAGTGATTTTAAAGAATTTTTTTTTTCAAAGATCCAAACCATTGCTTGACCCTCGGCCCTCATGGGAAAACCACCACTCCTTATCAACACCACAGCAACAAGAACACTGCACAACAGCCCAGGGAGCTCTGTACGATCCCTAACAAGTTGTGGAAGAGATGAGCTTCCTTTTCTTTTCTCTACTGCCCAGAGGGTCTTTAAAATTTCTTGTATTGGGACAACCTGGATGCACCTAGAGGGTATGGTGTTAACTGAAACAAGTCAGACAGAGAAAAACAAGGACCATACAAATTCCACTTATATGTGGAATCTAAATTTAAAAAAAAGAATTTGAGTGGAAACAGATTCCACTTATATGTGGAATCTAAATTTAAAAAAAAAAAGACGAACACAAAAACAGACTATTAGGGGACACGTGGGTGGCTCAGTGGGTTAAAGCCTCTGCCTTTGGCTCAGGTCATGATCTCAGGGTCCTGGGATCAAGCCCCGCATTGGGCTCTCTGCTCAGCGGGGAGCCTGCTTCCCCCTCTCTCTCTGCCTGCCTCTCTGCCTACTTGTAATCTCTGTCAAATGAATAAACAAAATCTTAAAAAAAAACAGACTATTAAATGCTGGACAAACTGGTGGTCGCCAGAGGAGAAGTGGAGGGGTGGGGTATTGGCAAAATAGGAAGAAATTGTATTGAGGTATAATTTACATACCATAAAATTGACCCATTTTAAGTGTAAACTTCAAGGATTTTTAGTAGATTTATTCAGTGTCACAAACATCACTGTAACCCTGTTTTTGACATTTCCATCACCTCAATAACATGTCCATTGCCCATTTGCAGTTAATCCTTGTTACTGCCCCTAGCATTAGGCAATATAATCCTTTTGTGTGCATGTGAATTTGCCTATTCTCAGACATTTCATATAAATGGAATCATACACTCTCTGTGGTTTTTTGCAACTTGATTCTGAGCATGATGTTTTCAAGGTTCATTCATATTGTGGCATGAATCACTACATTACTTTTGATGGGTGGACAATGTGCTACTGTATGTATATACTACATTTTATGTATTCATTTATCAGTTTATATACATTTGGTTTATTCCCACCTTTTGGCAGTCATGAAGAAGGCTGCTCTGGGCATTGATGCACAAGTTTTGTACATGTTTTCAGTCGTCTTAGGTGGATACGTAGGAATGGACTTGCTCTCCATCTATACTGAAATTTGTTGTTCAGCGTAACCACCTTTATTAATGATCTGAGCTTGAGCCTCAGGATCCCTTGCTGTTTCACTTTGCACTTGTATGTTACGGACATGCTTCTTTCCTTATACCTCATGAACGAAGCTCTGCTAACTTCACATTTTCTTCTGCAGCCTTCTCACCTTCCTCAGCCTTTACAGAACTGAAGAGAGTTAAGGCCTTGCTCTGGGTTAGGCTTTGGCTGAAGGAAATGTTGTGGCTGGTTTGATCGTCTTTGAAGATGACTAAAACTTTCTCCATATCAGCAATAAGACTCTTTTGCTTTCTTATCATTTTTGTGTTCACTGGAGTGGCACTTGCAGGGTCCTCCAAGAACTGTTTATTTGCCTTTACTACTTGATATCTGACACAAGAGGCCCAACTTTCTACCTGTCTCAGCTTTCAACATGCCTCACTAAGCTCAGTCATTTTTGGCTCTTGATTTAAAGTGAGAGAAATGAAACTCTTCCTTTCACTTGAGTGCTCAGAAGCGATTGTAGGGTTATTCATAGGCCTGATTTCAGTATTATTGTGTCTCAGGGAATGGGGAGGCCCAAGGTGAGAGAGAGAGATGGGGGAATGCTTGGTCAGTGGAGCAGTCAGAACACACATTTATTAAATTCACTGTCTTCTGTAGGTACAGTTCATGGTGCGCCAAAACAGTTAACAGTAGTAACATCAAATATCATTGATCACAAATCATAACAAATATAATAATAATGAAAAAGTTTGAACTATTGTGAGTGACACAGAGACATGAAGTGAACAACTGCTGTTGGAAAAATAGCTTAATGCAGGGTTTGCCACAAACCTTCAATTTAAAAAAAAATGCAGTATCTGTGAAGCACAATCAAGAGAAATGGAATAAAATGCCTGTATTGGTGGGTTTGGTTGGCCAACATTTTGTTGGGGAATTTTGCATCTATATTCATTCGAGATGTTGCACTGTAGTGCACTTTCTTTCCTTAGGATGTATTTGTCTTGTTTGATGTAAGATACCAGTCTCATAGAATGAGTTGAGAAGAGTTTCTTGTGTTAATGTGTATTTTACACGTTTCTACTTATTATCTCTTCCTGATGAATTGACCCTTCTATCATTATGAAATGTCCTTTTTCTAAGCATAGCTACTTCAACTCTTTCATGGTTACCATTTGCGCTGTATACATCTTTTTCACCCTCTTATTCCTTCGACCTATTTATTTCTTCACATCTAAACGGGGTACAATGTGGAGGGCATATACTTGGATTCTGTTCTTTTATCAAGTCTCACAGTCATTGTCTTTTGATTGGACTGTTTGGTCTGTTTACATTTATCATAATTAAAATTACTGTAATTAAGTTAACTTACTGTGATTGAACTTTTGATGTTTTTTACAGTAATTTCTGGAATTATTTTTTATT